GGGTATAAGGAGTGGGTTGATGGTGTACGCAGGGTTTCGCCGGAGAGTAGGGTGTGGGTGCAGCTAGGGAGTGTAGCGGCGGCGTTGGAGGTTGCGAGGGGGGCGAGGCCCGATGTTCTTTGTTTGCAAGGTGCGGATGCGGGGGGCCATGGGTTTGAGAAGGGTGCTTCAATTGTTTCGCTGGTACCTGAGACGGCGGATGCGTTGGCTGCGGCGGGGTTTGCGGATATTGCGCTGGTCGCGTCGGGGGGGATTGTGGATGGAAGGGGGGCTGCGGCTGCGCTTGCGTTGGGGGCGCAGGGTGTAGTGATGGGTACGAGGTTTTTGGCGTCAAAAGAGGTCAAGGTGCATCCAAAGTATCAAGCTGCGATTTTGGAGGCGCAGGATGGTGGGCAAGTGACTACGCGGTCGAAGTTGTTTGATCAGCTGCGTGGTCCGAATATTTGGCCTGAGCTGTATGATGGACGGGGCTTAGTTGCGCAGAGTCATAGGGATTTTGCGAGTGGGATGAGTCTGGAGGAGATTCAGAGATTGCACAATCAAGAGGCTGCTGGTGAAGACAAAGGATATGATACAGGACTGCAAGGCCGTGCGGCGATATGGGCCGGCACAGGCGTGGGGTTAGTAAATCAAATCCAGAGCGCGAGAGATATCGTGGAAAAGATACGGGAAGAGACAAAAGATGTCTTACTTCGAGTAGCAAACGTGTAAAACGAGAAGAATTGGGGAGAAACAAGCCTTTGATGAGATTGAGTCTCTAGTAGTCAATAAGAATAGTGTTGTGTATTCGCAACCTTAATTGTTTGACTTATTGACATCCAACTATACAAGAGTGATGGTACGTTTTTCCATCACTTCCATGATATGCATGAAGTAGTCGTATCTTTCTGCTCTTGCTACGGCATGCGCTACCTTTTCATCCTCTGAGAGTTCCACATCCCAATCAGGCCAAGAAGTCACCCCACAGAGATCGTTGCCGACCCCAATTGAAGCTACCCCTAACCTTTTGTACTTGCCAGTTTCACTGGTTTCCACAATCAATAGTGCGTTCTTCCAGCCACCCATGTCTCGCCGATATACGTCTCTTTTCAGTAATAGGAAAGGTATAGCAAGTGCTTTTGTATCCTGTTTCTCGTAGATATTAGCACTTGAAGGTGTATCCCAATTAGGATGACACCACGCAAGGCGATGATGCTGGTTTCCTGGTATGTAACCCGGATATGTAGCAAACTCTATGTCACAAAGCCTGAAAACAGGAGCTTGGATGACGATGGCCGCTTCTGTGGCATCTCCAAGGATGGGTGGTCCTCGTGTATTGTACACAATCTTTTCTATCTTCGTATAGGGGATTTTCTGGCAAAGATCAGTGCAGTTGGAATTTTCCACAGAATAGGGCTCTGACTTGACGTCCATGACCAGGTTGGTGAGCTGTTCGGTCCACGTCTATGACCATAGTTCCCAGCAATATATCTATGCACAGACTATAGAAGATCATAGTGTAAGGTATCCTCCCAAAGTCCGTGGATATATCTCTTTTTACAGTCTTGTGCTTGTATTCGACTTGCAAAAGCTGCAATGGCAGGAAGCCTATCCTTCTCAAACGTAATGTTTCGCCACGAAAAGGATCTCACAATTCTGCACCACGCATCTTGTACTGGAAGTTCCATGTTACTTCTCAAGTCTTCTCTCACAAGACTTGGCAAGAGAAAGTGACCATCTGGATCACCCTCGTGTCTTGAACTCGTTCGACAGTGCCAAATCAATTCCTCGCGGCCATAATGTATGACACGTGGAGATAAGGTCAGTTCCTGGAACACCCAACCTCGCTTGTACAATGGGAATCCATCATCTGATCGCATATCCATAAATTCCTCCGTTGGATCAGGGCGACGAGCTTTTCTTCGGACATGGACCCAGGGGTACTCAGGTAGAGGATAGCCAATTCGCCGATTAGAGATGTCATTGAACAGCCCTTCTTCCGAATTTCGGGCGGCGGCGGCTGCAATGGTCACGTAGCCATTCTGATATACATCTGCCATACGCGAAGCTTGTTGTTTCCAATCCTGTTCGCTATTCTGGATGATGCATAGACTGTCGATCCACAAATAATGAATTCCAAGCTCTTTACAGACAGTCACAGCATCCTGGTACGTCTTTGGGAGATTCTCGATTAGGATTCCGAGGTCCATATGTATGCGCCTATTTTCTTGTGTTGTTTTGAGGAGATTCTCTCCACTGCCCCAGCAGTGGCTCAAGCATGCATATCGAGCTGGTTTCGACGACTCCTCTAATGTGACCATATTATTGCAAATGTGAAG